GGGGGAAATAAATAGGACTTTCTTTTTGGACTACAGCCTCTGCTTCCAGGATTTACAGCCTGAATGGGCGGAAGGACAAGTACAGGCGCCGCTTGGATATGCGTAGTGTTGTGCGCTCCAGATGACAACACTAGACAATACTCCTTGCTGCAACWTTCCTCTTGCATTTTTAACCGATGATAGCCATTGGAGTGACTCCTAGGCTGGGGTTTCTTGCTTGTATTTTTTGTTTCTTTTTGTAAAGCTAAGTTCCTGTTTGTAAGAAATGCTTTGACAGCAGTGAAACTTGGAATAGGAAAGATGGTCGTTTAAAGACCAAAAGACCTGTTTAACGCTGCATGCTCCTTAAAAAGAGAAACACCTCTGTCCTGTAGCACATCACTGTTATCTTTCTGGAGGGGGAAAAAACACACGCAAAAACCCCTGCCCCTTTCAGAAGTTTCAGTAATGAGCAAAACCAGACTGGATAAATATAGACCTAGGCACCCATGCAGTAATACTAGATGCAAAATGAAGAAAACTGTACAGCTGATCTTCTCACAATTCTGCTTTCTGCTTCAGTGACAACCAAGATGTTTCATCTCCATTAAATTCCTTACTTATCTTCACATATCACAAGGAATTAAGAACTTCTTGTGAAAGYCTCAAACCTTTGTTGAGCAGTGCTGGTGTAAAGAACCTCAGCCCTTCTGATTTGCGTTAGTCCAAAGGGTGACTCCTGACTGCACTGGATCAGCTGCAGCTTTCAGGTGGCCATTCCAAACTAAAAATTTTCWTCTGGCATTTCACTGGGGGCTGCACATAGCAATCAATAGACTAGATATTTAATTCTCTATTAACAGTGTTTGGAGTTAAGGTAGCATTTAAAAATAGTAATGGTTATGCATAAGTTCATTGTTTCAGTTTTTTTTTTAAAGGTTACCATTAGACTTGGGAGACACTCATATACCTCCATGCAAAATTCTGTCTTCACGGTCAGTAGATGCTTCTTCCCTTTGAAAATTAAGTTTAGCTACTTAAGGTGAAYGAATATATCTGATACTGAGAATAAATCTATCTGATGAGAATCCTGAGTAGTATTCTGCTAAAGATACCCTGCAGGAGCAAATTAATAGAATGATGGGAGTTAAAACTGCTTATGTCTCATGCCTTTATTAAAAATGTTCCAAAGCAGCCTCCTCATCACATGGRTTGTCTCATTCTATGGGGTTAAAGGTGTCTTGGGGAAAGAAGAGGGTCCATTTGTCCAGACACAAAATTTGGCTTGCCTAAACAGATAACTTTCAGTGCACTCTCTGAATCTTAACGTTGTAGGAAATGGGTGGCCTCATCTTTTTCTGGGTTTCCCGGGTTGACTGATCCACACAAAGTCTTTGAGCTGAGCTAGTATCAAAGCTAGACTGCCTGCAAGAAGACAAACAGTGGAGAGAAAACCCAAAACACTAGTGAGTCTTCACATTGTGAGAGATGGGAGCCTGTATTGTTTGTACAAAGCATAAGGCTTAAGATCCATAAGTCTTCTTTCTGTCACTAAAGGACGAAGCAAAGAATATTTCCTGCTTACGATGACTGCTGCCAGGMAAGGCAAGACCATGGCCGCCTCCCTGCACTAAGAAGCTCTTGCTGCACGTCCCTGAGCATAAGGGATGGGGAATGGTCCCTGCTATTCCCGATGCTACTGCATTGAAAGGCATAAATGAAGCAGCTGACGGGTTAAGCAGAGAAGTAGATCTAAACTACTTAACTAAACAAGTAGGTATCCAGGATGCAATCATGCCTGAAGTTAGGCCTTAATGCACGTCTTGCGCTCTCACACCTTTGTTCACATAAAGTGAATGGGAGGAAAGCAGCAGCATTTGGCTCTATGCCCTTTCAAATACTTGCTGTGTCCACTTCTTCTCTAATGTTACCATTAAGAGAAACACAGTAAAAAAAGAAAACTCCAAAGATCTGTAGCATTCTGACCAGGCTACAGGCTAGCCTGCTTKGTGATAAGGAAGTTAGCACACCATCCAGCTTTCAAAGGCTTCTTTTGCTCTGCTTTTTTTCTAATGATTATGAGTGACACTGTTTCACTGGTTTTTTTGATTTTTTTTGCTATGTTTTTGTGGCTACACAGTCCTCTTGAGTTCACTAATTTATTGGAAGACAGAAGAAAAAGTAATTTGAGGAAAGCACATAATAAAAGATTATTTAAAGTACTGTAAATCTGAGGAGAAAAATATCTTTCAGTTTCTTCTATGGGAAACATATTGTGGATAAGAGAATGGCTGTACACTTTCCTTCATGTTTTACCATTGCCCTGGAACAAGTCATTTCACTCATTTATGCCTTATTTGTGTTACACTGTGGTCATTTAATTATGCCTCTAACTCCCTGGCTATAAAACGTAATTGAAACCACTTTCTCTAAAGCATTTTAAATTCCACTGATAAATACTAGGATGTAACTTTTTTTTTCTTATGAAAATACGCTGACATCTGTGCTTGGAAGAAACGCTCTTCATTTTGAGACACAACATCTGAAAATGCTGAGTAACGCTGACTCTAGTGAAGGCTTCTGGTTTAAAGATTGGTTTGGAGCTTGGATTGCAGTAGTGGTAATGTAGCTGTAAACTTGTGCCAGTTGGCTTAAAACAGTAKAACAAACTGGAGCTGTTTTAAAATTACTCTTGAAGATACAGTTAGGCGAGAGGGTGAGAGCTGGATACTTTCGGAGTGGGTAGTAACAAAATCCTTATGTTGCAGTTTCTGTTCAGTCACATACCTGGGCCTGGAAATGCATTTCCATTCAGGCTGTTACCCCAGCAAGGATAATTAGGCCCAAATAATCCATAACTGCTTCCGTGTACTCTCTGAAGATAAGTTTGTGTACAGCAAACTTGCATTTTTTCTTTCTCTTGCCTTCAGACCATGAAAAAAACCTGATATCCTTTGGATGGGACAGTTCTAATCTTCCTGCAGTTTCAGCAAATTTGGATTTACGGGCCCTCTTATTTTAAGGTTTCTTATCATATATATCTTACCTTCTGCCTTGACACTGGCCAGCTGTTTGTAAAGCCTGGAAGAAATAACACCTGCTTGATGAAAGGGAAGCTGTCAGACCTCTGGGAGATTTTCATTTGAATCTGTTTGCAAATGAAATGGAAAATTTGTTCTTTTTTAGAAACTGTTAGATGATATAGTCACCATCATAAACAACTTTAATTGTGCTCTGTATGTCATCTTGGAATAACTTTCTAACAGAGGAATTTGAACACTGTTCTGGCTGGACTTGACATTTGAGGAAACTTGAGCCATATTGGCTTTGTGGCTACAGTAAGAAAAGATATGCAAAAAGTGGCAGGTAWAACCATGAATAATTTGTTGACTTGTTCATTAGAGGTCCACTAAGATAGCTAGAATCGAAACCGTCTTGGACTAATAACAAGTACTTTTRAGTGTGGTAATGGTGCCCTGTGTATGAGTGCTGACTGTGCAACCTAATGCAAATACGTTGTTCTTGTGGCTTGAGGTGCCATTTCGTTTTAAATGATGTCATCAGGAACCAGATGAGAATTAAGGGATGACTGGTAAAATATGCTGTAGACGGGCACTTTTGGGTTTTGGTGCTCCCTGTGGTCACTTTAGCATTGATTCTAGATTGATTGTTGATGCAAACGTGGGTCATGTCCAGAAATTGAAGTAAAGAATTCTTAACTTCTTTCAAGCAGTTGCTGAGAAGCTTAACCAAAAGAGCCAGATTAGAAAATGCAGTGTTTAAAAACTGGCTGCAGTTTATTGAGAGCAGCTTTGCGGGAGGGTTTCAACGCCCTGGAAGGAACTTTCTGCCACCAGGTGTCAGTATAAGCTTAATTATAGTCGCTCCTTTCATYGCTTTGCTTTGCTCCAAAAATGCATCTAGGTTTATTTTTCTTTTGTGCTGAGTAAGTGCATAGTTAACCACAGCCTTCATGCAGGTACCAGTGTGAGTTCAAAGCTCCTTTATTATTAGAACTGAAATAGGCTGTTAAATTTTAGGTTGTTAAGGCTGTTGCTGAAGAACCAGCATGATTTTTTCCTGCCCTGGAAATAATTTAATGGATTTTAGGGAATGGGGGAGGGAGGTGGGTTGCTGTAGCTAGCCCAATGGATTGTCTGTCGTAATGCAGAGTATCTACTGCAAAGGAGCAGCCAGACTGACAGCAGCCACTTACGGGTCTGATGAGATGGGCCTGTTTGAGGAGGGCTGTTGCTGCCCCACAGAAGTTATGCTGTGACTGCAGAAAGACTTGCAGAAAGTAGATCATCTTCAAGGGGTGACTTCTCTGTAAAAAAAAAACAGTAATTGCAGGGTTTTCAAGGAAAGGTCAGCCTCTTCCTTGAGCTATAGAGCTACATAGTCTTCCAAGTTATGAAATGAGTTAGTGAGTGGAGGGGGAGAAGTGTCTGTGCAAAAAAAGTAAAGAAGCCATTGGAAAGTGTGAGCATGTTGCAAGTAGTCTGTACTCTAGAACAAAAAGAAACAATAATTAAAAAGGATGGAGTTGGTTCAGTAAGTTCTTGCCTCTTCAGAACTGCTAATTGCAAGTTCTTTACTACACATTGACTTTGTCTTATCACTAGTTACTTTGTGAAGGTCTAAATTTAACAGCTTATTATTCCTTCTGTGGCTATTTACAGCCTTTTTTCCTAAAGCTGTGCAAAAAAAATGAGGTTATYGGTATCTAACATAGCAAATAAAGGACCCATTAGAGGAGAAAAGACATTTTATAAGAAAAGCAATCTTATTTCCCTTGCACTTTATGTTTTTAATGTTAATTCTTGCTGTCTTTAAAAAAGTAAACCTTAAATATTGAACTGAAATCACTGTAATTTTCTGTTTGTAGGATTTATTTTGGGGACAACAAATTACTAACTTGACTAGAATTATTCTGGAGGCCCAGGCACCCAGGTGGCTGCAACTGCTGTTAAAATCAGGGAGGAATTTTACCAGCTTCTATGCGGATGGAATTTACCTTCCTCTCAAGCAGTAGCAGGAGATGAGTTTTGAGCTTTACAGAACATAGCTGTTCTGTTTTGGATTTTTTTGACCRCTGATATGGTCAGAAATTTTTTGACCACTGTGATGTGTTATGCGGAAATACAATTTCTCCTCAAAAAGGAGGAAGAACTGCTGCTACTTAAGGGAATTTTGTACTGCTCAGCAAGTATGGTTTAGATAACAGTAAAAATGACTTTTAGCCTTATTTGAGACCTCATTTATTCTTTTTACTTATGTGCAGGTTTGTAAACGCATGGATTTGGTTTGCCAGCGAATGTTAAATCAAGGATTTCTGAAAGTGGAAAGATACCACAACTTGTGTCAAAAGCAAGTTAAAGCTCAGCTTCCAAGGTATGTACAAAATAAAACTGCAGTTAAACTTTAATCAGTTAGAATTATCTTAAGCATAATACTGAAAAGGAATCTCTTGCTGACTAACCCAGCTATACATCCTAAAGATTTGAATTCTATCTATTTTCATTTTGTTTTCCAAAAGCACCTAAGATGTAGTTACAAAATAATGGTATAGATKAGTGTAATTTTAGTACATCTGGAGCTGGAATTTTGGAAAGTGCCTCTGGTATTTTAAATAGGGAACAGAGAGGTCTTGTATTACTCAACTCTTCTGGAATGGATAAATGCCATTCCTTTTCAAGACAGGCTGCCTTCACTGATGACTTACCTAAAATTCTGCTTAAAATAGCAACAGTAGTAACGATTAAAGGGGGAAAGAGGAGGGGTGTTGACAAGCGAGCATTATAGGGAGCTAGGGGGTCATCCTAAAGTAGTATCTTTAATATATTTATTTGTGTCAATTGTGTTGGAGTACTAATTGTAGGAATATGCGACCATAAAATCTTTATATTGCTAGTGCAAGCTTGTTTATGTATAGTGTCCTAAATTACGTATATACGGATCCCATAAAACTTGTCATTATTTAGGGAACAAATTTTGTTTAAGGAAATACACTGCACTGTTACAACTTTTCCATAATGACATAGCTAATTGAAGTGGTTACATTTTCAAACTTCAAAAGGCTTTTGAGAATGAAATTGAGTGATTGTTGCAGTTATATTTTGTTGACTCACTGTTAAATTGGTGTCACTTAATGGTCTGTCTCCTAGGCGGGAGTCGGAGAGGAGGAATCATTCATTAGCTCGTCATGCAGACATCCTTGCTGCTGTAGAAACAAGACTCTCCCTATTAAATATGACTTTCATGAAGTATGTGGATTCCAATCTCTGTTGCTTCATACCTGGAAAGGTAAAATATAAACTGYATTATGCAAACTTGTATCTCTGTGCTTTTTTTACAAAAAAAAAAAAAAAAAGTTAGGCCTTAGGGAAACTTGTCTTGCCTAAAAAAAGTAGAAATAATCGGGAGCAGTATGTTGGATACTTACAAACACACAAGCCGAAACTCTGCTATGAAAGGCAACATGAAATGAATGGACTATATCTAAATATTGATTCCTGAACTTGATTTCTGTTTCCCCTTAGGCTTTTGATGTTTGACTTGCAAAATGTGCAGAGGGATATTTAGGTCATAAGCCCAAATTGTAATTGTACAAAACAGCCAGAGGCCAGGTCAGTGGAAGATGTAATAGTTCAGGCTATGCACAACACTAAGGACTTGATGCATTAGGAAGACTTTAATTTGAATTAAGACTTTATTTGAATTCAACTATATAGGATTTGTAAACACTGTTTATTATTAATATGAATGGTGTATTTTTGTGCTACATGAAAATAGTTTTGCTAATGTTATTACTACTGGACAACCTGAGATATTTCAGAATACTAGGCCAACATAAAATAGAAATTATCTAAGCGAGATGTGTGTCACAGCTATCAGTGTTTTATAGCTGTGAGACAGAGATGTAGAGGAGGATTGACACAATCCTGACCTGAGGAAGACCGGGACAGCTCAGGCACAAGCCTGTGAACATTAGATTATTGATCTCTTTTCCTATGAGATTTGGATATGTGGATATTCATTTTTTCCTGGAAATAYACCTGAATTGCCACGGAGATGAACTGAAAACAAATCTCTTTGATTCAGATGAATAGCAGATAGTTCTTCCTTTAGTATAGTAGGGATAGGCTGTCAGCATGAAATATAAGATTTAAGATAAACTTACCTTAAAAATGCTGCCTTAATTTTTTATTTTATTTTATTTTTTTTTTAGGAGTGGAGATAAGGTAGTTGTCAAGCTAGACCTTGGGTGTGCAGGAATTGGGCRAGCGAGCTTGCCAGGCATTTTCCTTTGGAGAACTGGGGCACAAGGAGCTTTATTTATTTGTACTCAAATCTAACAGCTGGAAAGATTTTATTTTCCTCTTCACTTAGTATACTAGTTTGGTAGCACTGCTGTTCTCAGCATAGTCATGAGCTCCTTAGTTTTTGGTCAGGCAAATTCCAGACACTCTATTTATGTGCAGTGTATGGCTTCCCTCGCCTGCCCTGCTCCCCTCAGTAAACCTTCATTTGAATGAAGCTGCTACAGAAATTTCAGGATGTGAATTGATGTTARAATATATGAATCCTGATTTGACTTTCAGCATACTGTGTAAGGTTTCCTGGTCAATAACAAAATGCTGCTTAATATTTTTTGTTGATGATAGTAGGGRAATACCATGAGGATAAAATTTTTAAGAAGTTATAACATGGAAAAGATTAGTGAAGACTCTTGTATGCTTGCTAGCTGATGAAACACTTTGGTCCTAAGTCTAACTCTTGCAACTTTTCATCTAGACTTCTTTTACTCAAATACAAGGTGCACTTGTGTGATTGCTAGTTCCTGAAGTCTTTGTTTTTCCAGTAGGCTTTTCAGCCATTACTAATTTGATACAAAAGAAAAATCAATAATTAAGTCAGTAATTTCTATATGGGGACACCAGCACTCTTATTTTGAGCTGTTCAGACTATAGTTTATAATTAGCAGGGCTCTGTATTTCTCCTGAAAAAGGGGTTTGTTTCTAAGCCTGTTAGGTGGTCTGCCAATTGTGGATTCCTATTTCATAATTAATGTATTTTGGATCTAATCTGGATTTGCAGCATTTTAGGTGCATGCAAGTGAACTCGAGTATTATATTTGCAGCTCTTCAGACTGGCATGCTAATGCTTGCTGTTCCATTCACATGTTATATATGTCTCGTGATGGGCTGGGGAATGACTGCGCTGCAGACATGGTTAGTGTGGCTTTCAGTATCTGCTTCAGGTTCTCCAGAAAGAAATGTGTATGTTTTACTRCATATAGATTGTATAATACAGAATTCAAGTATGGCTGTAGTAAAACAAATATTCCGTATGAGTATCTTGCACATGAGTATCTTGCACACTGAGCAGTAGTTCGGGAGTTTGAAGAGAATTGCTGTGATGCATCAAGTCAATGTTTTCTCTAACGTATGAAAAATTGTATTTCTGCTTCTACAAAGTACAGCTTTTCATTTCAAATAGCTGATGCAAAACTAAAATACAGAGTAATAYGGAAGAGTAATGCTTGTGTGGTAGAAGCCCCTAACTACACCAACACATTAGCTTCTGGAGAGATCTGAAATAATTTTGTCTTCCCTTTATCAGAAAATCCTAATATTTATTAAATATTTTAGGTAATCGATGAAATTTATCGTGTGCTAAGGTATGTAAACTCTACAAGAGCTCCTCAGAGAGCCCATGAAGTTCTTCAAGAACTAAGGGACATTTCTTCCATGGCTATGGAATATTTTGATGAGAAGATTGTTCCAATACTGAAAAGAAAGCTGCCTGGGTCAGATGTATCAGGACGTCTCATAGGAGCTGCCCCAGGTATTAATTCCAACATACAGTTAATTTTTTTTCTTTAAAAACTCATAGCACATCTTTTTAAAGCTCCCTCTTTTACATATGAGCTTCATCACATACATACTGATGATACTTATTTCTTAAGATTGTTAAATGAAATTTGTTTGCCTTGAGATTTAAGGAGGCTTTGTATTACCCAAAGAATGGTCACTTGAATGTATGTTATAATTATGCATCATGTGTATTCATTCAACAAACGCTTTTGTGCCACCAATGAATGAGACTTTATCATTGCACTTGGTTGACATTTGGCACATGAGATGACAGATCAAGATGACTTTTATTTTTAGTACAGTCAGCAAATTAATTAGCCTAAGCTGCTGTAGTGCACAGAGAGCGGGAACATACTTGGATGTGCTTTTTTACTTTCCTGGGGCCCTCGTGTTGTCATTAGCAAGCTAAACACTTGTGGGGAATATGGAAAAGGCAGTTAAAATAACAGTCTACAAGTAAACAATTAAGTTGGTTCTTTGTATAAACCTGTTGGTTTCTGTAATTTGTGTTAACCAAACTCTGGATGGTTACCGTGCGCGCGCGTGTGCACACACACACACACATCTATATCTATATATATATAAATATATATAATTTTATAATATATATAATAATTACATATATATATTATTTATATATATATATAAATAAGGGCCAACCTTCTTTTCACACACTATTGGAGAACCTTAGATTGTGAAATAAGCTCTCACAAGAATAATTTCTCAAACAAAATGGTGGGACTAGCAATAGTAGCTGCTTGATGTTGCTGATACGCCCTAGCCATCCTTTTAGTTCTAAGTGTATATATTGTTTCTTAATTATAGCCTCTTCGTTATACCTCAGTTCCACTCTGTCTCTTGGGTGAGGAACTGTTGCCCAAAACCATGGATGATCAACTTAGGAAGCCCAAGGTTTATATGGCATAGAAATCTGTCTTGTGCTGAGGGAAGAATTCTAATAGCAACTGTCTTAGTGTCAGATAGCTGTAGATATGCAGGTATCTGAAAGGAAAAAAAGAGAGAAGGGTGATTGTTCAAGATTCTTCTAGATTATTCATTCTTCATGGTGCTTAACAGCTGCATCTTACTTGCACTACATCTTATGACAGAAAAAGAGAGTGAAATGATATAGAAGATATTATTCTCACTGATTCACAGCAGTTCTACTGCATTCCTAAGCTCAAGCTGCAGGACTCCAAACATGGTTTTAGGACCCAAGAAGAATAAGGACAGACTGTTTAAAAGAGCAGGGAAAACAAATTATAAACAAATTATATTCATATTATAAAAATTATAAAAATTATTAAATTATGCGAATTATATTATATTATATTATATTATATTATATTATATTATATTATATTATATTATATTATATTATATTATATTATATTATATTATATTATATTATATAAACAAAACCTTTCTGAACTCTATGTTAAACTGAACTATCTTGTCAAGCCCCAAAACACAAACTGTGTACAACTGACAGCAGAGTTGTACTCTTATATTGAAATGTATTACATTATATTTATATATTCCGTAATATAACCACATTGGAGTTTCTTAACATCTGTGACATTAAGTCTAGCTGACAACATAATCTCTCCCCATAAACTTTGATAGAGCAAAAAGGGGCTTTACATGCAGAAAATGGAAGATGAGCTATTTTTCAGCCAACTGAAAATCCAAGTAATTTCAGTTAAATTAGTTGCCCTGAAATACCATATGCTCTTGTYATATAGCTACTTGCAGCCGGTATTCAGATGATGTTTGGGGAGCAGGATGAACAAGAGATGAAAACTAGGACATAATGGCTTAAAGATACAGGGAATAAATTGCTGTTTTCTCTGAAGTTCCAGGGCCTTCTGCAGCACTAACAACAATGCAGCTCTTCTCCAAGCAAAACCCTTCGAGACAGGAGGTGACCAAACTCCARCAGCAAGTGAAGACAAACGGCGCCGGGGTGACGATGCTGAGGCGGGAAATCTCGGAGCTTCGCACCAAAGTGCAGGAGCAACAGAAACAACTCCAAGACCAAGATCAGAAACTGCTAGAGCAAACCCAAATCATAGGCGAACAGAATGCCCGGTTGGCTGAGCTCGAGCGCAAACTGCGAGAGGTGATGGAGAGCGCAGTAGGAAATTCCTCAGGTTCTGGCTCAAACGAAGAATCTCCTAGAAAACGGAGGAAGGCAGCTGAATCTGTAGACTGTCCTAGGAAATCTAAACGCCTTCGAAACAGGAAATAACTTAGGCTGCTGGCTCTTCAAAATACAACTTAGACTTGAACAGTCATTTTCCTTCATCGAGGCTTTTCCCCTGCTTTCTGTCTCGGTGGGCCTAATTCACAAGATCTTTAAGATTTGCAATAAATATGTACTAACCTGACCTGCTCTATCATGTTTTGAAGGGTTAATTTTTTTTTTTCTCCTGTGCAGATGTGTTTAAACCTATTTGTGTTTATGCATATATTCACATAAAATCTTAAATCCTGTCTTAACTGACAAGAAAGTTAAGCTTACAAACAGATGTCCTGTTCACTTGAAGAAAAGACCCACTTTTTAAATCTTGTTTGAGAGAACTTGACCTTTTTTGTTACAAGTGACCTTGTCTGGAATGTCTGAAAAGTAGTTAATACTTTTTTGGGATCTATGTAATGAGTAAAACTGACTTCTTAAGCTATGGTATTGGCTATATATTTTTGTAAACAAGGCAGGGCCTTCTGTCCAGACTTTACATGCACACCCCCTCGCTGTAGGTCTTGGGAGCCATATTCTGCGTTTGCATGGATAGGTGCATGTACTGCTTAGCCTGCTGAAAGCACTTGCCTGAAGTTGATCTCTACTCTGGTGGGGAGTAGAGACCTGTAGAGCAAATCTGTGTTCCTCAGCCCTCACTTAGCATCTGCTTCCAGCACAACTGCTTCCCTGCGGTGAGGTGCTCTTGCGGGGCTAGGTGCAGGAGGCTTTGGAGCCAGGCTCTCTGCCACTGTCGCTGCCTGTACATTGCAGGTGCTGTTAGCCAAAGCTTGGGAATGGAGCGGCTGCCTGTGTCTCACTTGGATTCACAGGCCAACATCAATAAGTGTTAAACTGTCCCTGCAGTAACTGCGCTGGGTGGGACAACTTTTGAATGAGATGCTGTATTATGGAAAAACTTAAACTATTTTGTGTGTATGTGTCGGGGGGGGGGGGGGGGATGTGTGGAGATTTCTCTGTAATACTGACGACAATATTCTAGCTTTCCTTATCCTAAACGGTAAATCACATCAGACAAAGCTTTAATTTCTTTTGCACTTCTGTTTTGAGCTTGTAACTGGAAAAGCATGTCTTGCACTGTTCAGTCTCTCTGGTCACTTTAACAACCTCAGAGTTGTGTACAGTGATTCTTTTTTTTCCCCCCGTCTGTATATTTTTGGAACCTTATACAAATGCCATTGTCYTTGTTTTGTTTTAATGTACTAAACTGTGTAGCTTTATTGTTTGACTTATGTTTCTTTTTTTAATCAGCTGTTGCTTTGGGTTTAGGTGGTAYGGAATTCAACTTGTTGTGGCACTAAAATGTGCAAATGCTACAGGTGTAGCTGTTTAAAATATTACAAATATTCCAGTGAGTTAAAGTGCAACTATCTCATGTTTTGTATAGCTCTCAGCATAACATAGTGGTTGTATTTGTCACCAAACCAATCAGGACTTACCAGGTAAAATGTTCTAGACCCTTGGGAAAACTGACATTTTTCCTGAAATTTAAGCTTCAAGTTTTAATTCTAAAACGTGCTAGTTCACATCAGAGGCAACACTACAAAATATCATTGCTAATGTCTGTTTTTTGTCAGACAATTTTAAAATCAACTTGTTTGTTAGTTTAAGTCTTTTTAAAAGCCATGTTTCTTTTTAAGCAAAGCATCAGCAAATGATTAAAGGTTATCTGGGACAAAGTTAAAGCTCCTAAAGGACCATATGCTGTTACTGATCTTGCATAGTTGTTTKTTTTGTTTTTGCTTTTTTACTGTTACAGACATCTTGAATATAGATGTCAGCTGTGCAGTTAAAAACACTTGCATGTGCCTTCATTCTTTAAAAAAATAATTTTGACTGAGTGTAAGCATGATGACAGCATGATAGCTGTAATTCACTTGCACCAGATAATACACAACACATTCATTTAGCAGGCCTATTACTTTAACAGATATTTGTGGTTAAATACTTGTATGAGTAAAAACCGGTGAAGTACATTTACTGAAAAGGTTTATTCATACATCTCTAAAATCTTTAACTTCTTAATTTCTAGCAGATGCAAACACCTTTCTCCCTCCCCACTATACAAACAGTTGTTCTTAGGTTAATGCTACTCTTAGGGGTAGCACTGACCTGTGTTGGTGAATCCCGGGCTCTGTGTATGTTGGGGTGAAGAGCAAAATAGCCTGTTGGGATGGGAAACGTTCCTGAGGAGCAGTGCCAAGCTGGAACCTCCCCCACAAGGAAGTTGTGTGTGCTGCAAGTTAGCAGGTGTGACCTGACCCTCTGCATGCTGCCACGTTCAGTACAACTGCACCAGGCCCACGAAGCTTAACAGGGAGTGGGGAGGGCTCAAGCTTGAGAAAAGCCAGGTACCCAGCCGAGCTACATGACATCCTGGGGAGGCCTCGGTCATCAGCTGGCCCGTCCTGGAGGCCCTTGAGACAAGAGTCTGCGTTACCAGAAAATAGCTGCAATGTTATCTTTTGACATTGTATCGTGCCTAAACTGAAGAGGCTGCATTTTGCAGTTTGACAAACAGGCTGAAGTAAAGCTAAATCACTTCTGAATTGATATGTTTCTATGCAAGTTTACACTGCTTAGTATTCCAACACTGAAAAGTACAGTGGTAATTAGGCTGTTTAAGGAAGTACCTCAAACTAGTGAGACTAAAATGTAGCTTTTACAGTTACACCAAAAAAAAAAAAAAAAGTATTTACAAACAGCTATCAGTGGTGATGTTCAGTTTTTGTACATGTATCAAGGGCTAAAACTAACCAGCTCAGAGTTGAAAGACAAAGTGATAGTACAGACACGACCTGCCTTCTGTAGTTATTATCTTACGTAGGTTAAAACTGTGTTTCTAATACTGAAACTGATGTTCTTATGTAGTTTCTTTTTCTAAAATGACTTTCTTCACAAAATGTTTTTGTTACATAACAGGCTCTGCTTTTCTGCTTTATTTTTTTTTCTTTATTTTCAAAGTCTGTAAAAATCCTAAGTCTCTAGGGTATCTAATAAGTATGGTAACACTAATGAAGACACTAAATGCTGYGCAGTGGTACTTTTTTAGAGGGCAAGGCTGTTGACCATCACCTCTCCCCAAATTCAGCAGCTTGTGATTTTTGCATGAGTGAATGCAAACGCAGCGTGCAGCACTTGTGAGCAGGCAAACCATGCAATGAGTGGAGGCCCTGCAGCGAGAAAGGTTCCCTGCTCAGCAAGGGAAGTCTCAGACTGAAAAACAGATAGAAACCATCTGTTTCTATAAGTGAAACAGTGGTAGACCTTAAATATCTGCTACTAGCAGCACGCCATGTGAACCTCACTGTAAAAGTTCATGTCTTCACATAATTTCTTGAAAGGCAAGACTGTACTGAACAGAACCTTAGTCGCCCCTACTGAGATCTTCTAACACTGGAGTATAGGTAAGCACTGAGACTGTGTAAACTATTTTCAGCACCCAGGGCCTCCTGAAAATAGGATGGCTTAGGATGCAGTCACAGCTGTCTGCAGTCAGGGAGAGAAAGAGTTTCTTGGTGCTGYTGCTGGTTTTAAGAAAGTAATGTGGAATTAACAGTGAAAGAACATTCTCAGATTCAGCAGCAAGTTGTTGCGGCGCTTTGTGGCGGTGTGTGCGAGTGTGCGCTGGGGGCTACTCTGCGAACCTGTCCCGCGCTGCCTTGGCCCTACCTGGAGCGACTGGTCTGCAGCGCGTGCTCCGGGCGCCTCCGGGGCTGCGCTCCGCTTCCCAACCCGTGCAGCAGCCTGGCACGTGCRGTCACGCCGAGCTCCGGGATCCGCCGGTCCTCTGGAGGGAGAACAGCAGACACAACAATGGCTCACTTGCTGAAGGCATGAAAACTCCGCACGCGTTAGACAAACTGCCTCAACCATGAAGACTCCGTGATTAAATAGCAACAACGAACTTACCTGCGCCAGTTCCCCTTGGGCAATTGCATTTCCCCAAACCTTCCCGGTTAATATTTTCCTCGGTCGTTTAAGCCTTGTTTGGCTGATATGGGATATTTAGTTTCTAAATTTGGAATCTTTTGTTGAATTGCCATGCTGGGACTTGTGATTGTTTACAGACATGCAGCGGCAGTGCAGGAAATCTGCCTCTGCACTGAAGGTCCGAGGCCCTTCCTCCAGCGCCGCTGGGGAGCAGCCGCACCGCTCCTGGCAGCAGAGGCACCCGCGCTGCGGGCAGCATCACACCGATGCAGGGGAAGGTCTGTGGTGCACTGGTGGCTAGCAGTGCTGATATCTGAGCTATGACAGCAGGGAAACAATTTCAGAAACTTAATGTGCAGTGTTCAGAGTGAGGYTGAGTGAAGCACTTGTGGTCCTGGCAACTTTTCACACAGCTCCTGCACTGCTACAGAAAAATAAAAGAAACCCCCAAGCACTTCCTGGTTTATTGTGAAACCATCACTGCACAACAAATAACTGAAGCTCCCTTGCAAGGAGAAAATGCCTTGGTGAAATTTGAACATCTGTTTTACCTCCGAGTGAGGTAATAYTTGGAATCCTATGCTGCACCTGCCCACAAAAAGTACAAAATTCAGAGTGTGACTAAGCAGGGAAAAACTGTGAATAGTCTTATTTTCCATGTATTCTCTACCTGCTCCCTTTTTACTAGTAATCCCTTCCTAATGTGCATAATTAAAAATGCATGCAAACAAAAATATTACCAAACTGTTATGTTTTATCATTCCTGTGCTTTGTCCATTATTTTACATTTTCAAGGTGGGGACTGTATTTTGTTTGTGTTTGCACAATTTTACATACGGCTTTTGGCAACTAGTATATATAAGCCTTTTATTATTAATAAATTTTAAGTGATTCATCATGACCCTTGAGATATTTGTCTTATTTTAATTTGATAAGGCATAGCTCTGGGATTTTTTTTCTATTGTTTTTGACACTATTATGGATATATTTTCATTTGAGYGGCTTTATGAAAAACTAACATCCCACGCATTCAACTTCTACATAAAATAATCTTTGTAATTGAAATGCTCACAGGAAATACTGTATGAAAATAGATGTAGGAAAGGTGGCAGAGGAGATTGCCAAGTTTTGAAAATATCTTATCACAAGAAGTGGAACAAAAAGACCTTGGTGTAGGGGCTTTCAATAGTGGTTAAATATCTTCAGGCAGTCTATAAAGAAACAGTATTTTGGCTGAATGATTGCTAGTCCTTGCACCCACATCATTTACTTTTGGGGAGGGAAAAAAAGGAGTATTTTTAGCAGAGCCACTATATTCGATTCCTGCAACACCTTGATTCTATTTTCRGTCTTCTTTCTTAAGAAAGGGGCCACGCGAGGCTGCACTGCCTGCCCAGGTACCGCCAACGACCTTGGAACGCGCTGTGCAGGCAGGGGGAAGGGGTGCAAATCTTGGAGCTGGTTAAGCGCCCACAAGCCTCCCTGCAGGCAGCGGCCCGGCGGCAGCGCGGGATCCAGTCGGGATTTTCACTGCGGAAAAGGCCGGCAGGATCCAGTGCGGAAGATCCCGGTCTGCCCCGGCTGCGATCCCTTGGATGTGCAGCTCCAGGCCTGCTGTGACATGCAGCTCTTCCCGTTGGAAAGCTGTCAGTGCTGGGTGGAGGAGGGCAGGAAACACAGCTATGGAAGTAGCTTAGGCGAAAAATTTAATTTGTAAGGCTTCATCAGGCCAGTTTCTTGTAGGACTGTTGCATCCTGCATCACTGGAAGAAACAGACGGTGAAGGAGGCTTTCCACAGAGGAGGCTTTCCGCTACGCGCTGGGGCCGGAGCGGAGCAGCGCGAGGAGCGCGAGCTGAGACTGCTCTCCAGCTGGTCACAGYCCAATTCGTCCTTGTCGGACACCGGCGCGGCCGGCCCGGGGCGGCGGC